AATTTAGTAAACAGAGGACACTTTAACGTGATGGATTCTGTTGTAGCCATTGGTGACCAACTCACTACACCTAGGAACCTAATTCCATCTCGGGCATCTGCCTGGATTCAAACTCGACCACCTCGGCAGTGCCGGCTCCACGCACGGCCTCTTCACCCCTGAGCCATAAAGCCGACATGAATTCTTCAAACTCGAAGCCAGTTTCAACTGTCTGAGCCCTCATCGTTAACCCACCCCGACTCTGCCGATGAAACTCGTGAGTATGCTTCTGAGAAAAATGCTGGTGGGAAAACATTGGCCCAGAAGATCGATCAGCCGATGGACCACGGTGTTGTCACGCTTCATTACACGTCGCGGTAGCGCGAACCCTTGTCTCGTCTCTTTATTTAAAATGTCGGGTGGCCGCTTTGTTCTCAATCACCTGATACGCACGCATTTAATTGCGTCCCTGCGTGTGCGCTTCGACGTGCATGCACGCACATGGATTTATTGTCCTCCGCTGGATAATTGTAACTTCTATTGATTCATGTTCTTTGCTGTTAATGCCTAAGGGCCCTTAATCCAATCCCAATTCGTGTCCCAGAGTTTTAATTACAAAACGTAAAGACCTGAGCCGCGAGGGGGCAAAACTAAAAATAAATAAAATGATGAATGGAAGAGGTGAGCGGAGATGTTCCGAGAAACGCGACGTGATCTACATGAAGCGCATCGCCTTGAGCGTTCCGGCCGCCGGGGCTTCGTGAGGTCGTTCCGTTCGCTTATAAGGTCGCACTCATCTTTTGCTGTCTTTTCTTGGATTTTCTGTTTGCACATAGTCACATAGTCACGTTAAGATGTTTTCTTGTTCATGTTTTTGTTTGTTGCGGTTGCACCCGATTCAAGAGCCGAATGGCTCACAGGGTTATACCAAATAAATGAAACTGAAAACTGAAACTGAAACTCATTGCACACAAAGTGTTTGCCACAAATGAACCACAACACCTCGCTGATCTCGTCAAGGAGCATGAACCATCATCACGCGAACTCCGCTCATCCTCAAAGCAGCGGCGTTTGGCTCGCCGTCGAACGAATACGGTCACTGCATCGCGCGCTTTCAGATGCGCTTCTGCAGCCACTTGGGACGCTCTTCCTTCAGATATTAGGAAGCCACTGAAGCTATGCACTTTTAAATCAACTAGATTGAAAACTCATTTCTTTAGAACTGCTTTTTATTAAATTTTGATTTAAAGCTTTCGTGACTGCAGGGATTCATATTCTAGGTTCTTTCGGTAAAGTCACGTAGAAGGGAAATAATAAAATAATACAAATATAAAACAATAAAAATTCTCACGACGTTTCGACTGCAACACAAGCAATCATCATCAGGTGTAAAATCCACAGCAAGAAACGTCGTGAGAATTTTTGGTTGTTTTATATTTATTTTATTATTTCCCTTCTACGTGACTTTACCGAAAGAACCAAGAATATGCTTTTTATTATTTAGTTTGTTGTCTTTCACCTGCAACGTACAGTGCGAAAGAAGTTCAGCATTCGTGTTTCGGGCAGAGAGCCCTGATTCACAGGTCATAAATAGAGCCCAGGGAAATTGAGTGGAGGATACGAATTGGAGACTGCACTTTACACCGTGGGGTCTGATGGTGATGGAGCCTTGTAAGAATTAAATTAAATTTAAACCTCATCAGGCCCCATGGTATAAAGTTCATTTTATTAATTTACCCCGTTACACATTTGCCAAATGTCGCAAATGTACTTACATTTTTAATATTAAAATAAACAGTTAACACAGTTTGTACATGTATTACAGGCATGTCTTGCTTAACGGGCGTTCTTTCTATGAGAATTCACAATCACGATCAATTCGAATTTAGACCAATTTGTTCGCAAAACGAGCTAAATGTTCACTTAGTGAGCGGGGACCAGATCGATGGAATGCGTCCCATGGCGGCAGGGGGCGCACAGCAGGCCGCAGCTGTTGGTTTGCAGCTGTGCTGCGTGCCCGCGTGTTTCGTTGTGTGGGGGAGGGGGCCTCGTGGTGGCACTGTAATGAGTGGCGGGGGCGGGAGAGGTGGGTGGCAGTGGTGCTAATTAATTGCAGACGCTGAGGACAAGAAGTAGCGCTCCGTCTGGCATCCCCGAATCGTGGCTCGTTGTTTCAAGAGTGTAATATTTTTGGGGCTGAAACGTAGCTCAGCTTTTAACATGTGGGGAGTCAGTCATCGCTTAATGAGTTTCACTTACTGAGCAATTTTTGCGAATCATATCTCACTCGTTAAGCGAGACGCGTCTGCGCTCTATTACCTTGTGCAAATAACAGTTCAAAAAGTCCACATCTCCAAAAGCCAACCAGACAAAATCCTATCCATGAGCCTTCCGGACCAAATTTCCCTGCGTCATTTATTACTTAGGCAGGCAAATTCTACACCCGTTTCCACTGTCTGAGTCTCATCGGCCGAGTTGGGCCTGTAACACAACTAGCCGCTGCTTGTTGGGTGACCCTAGAAAGTTTGCATTTTCAGACGTCGCCTCGAAGCCGCGGTTGCGTTGCCTCCTCCCCTCGAACCCACGTGGCCAGGCACGCGGTTCCTCAAGTGACGCAAGCCCCGAGGGTCCGGCCCAGGAGCGTCACCAGGAGCGCTCGAGGAGAGCGGATTTCTTGTCGCCGATTCAATTTTTGTTGTTATTTTCCTGAGCGAACTTCGCATGAATTCCCACCTCTGGCTCTTTGTGGGCAGGTGTCGGAGCGGTTTGCCCGTGGTGACGTGGTGACGGAGGAGCGGCGTTCAAGTGGCGACTGAAGACGAAGACGACGACAAAAGGGAGAAATCACACGCGGGGCGGGGGGGGGGGGTTCAAATGGTGTGTCACGCCGTTCATGTTATGCCCGCTGCCACCATGAAGTAGCGGTTACCACAGAATTGTGCAAATTCACAGACACGTTACACTTCCTCTGAACGCGACATGAATGGTGAACGTACGATACATTTAAAGTGCAAGTCTAGGAAAGCAAAGTGAATGCACAGCTACTGCGTGGGCGTCACACCACAGAGTTATGGGAAACCCCATTACCCGTCTCTCTGTAGGGTGTGATAAATATGTCTGCACGCACGGGGCAACACGTCTATGTCCAGACTCAAACGAGACTTCTCAAAGTTTACATTCTCAGCTGCTAATCCACAGGCCAAAACCACATGCCACAGTCGACTTCCAGCAATACATCGATTCACTGAGGACTCCCAGTACCTTGTAGAAAATCATATCTTGGGTGCAATCGATCTTGCCTCGTGGCCTTTTGGTTGCTCCGCGCAATATAATCAGCGGACCAACGACGGTGTGATGTTATCTACCTCGCCTGGTATGCGGAAGGTCGGAGGGCTCGATCCCGACCTTGACGCCTGTATATTTGGAGTTTGCATGTTTTCCCCCGTGGTCTCGTGGATTATTTTCTCCGGGTCCTCCGCTATTTTCCCTCCGCAATTAGAATACACAGATTCTTTTGCTGCTGTGGATTTCCACATGATAAGCCACTTCGTTGAGCTATCACTTGCGGCCAGGTCGCTCCTGAAAAAGAAGCCAATGGCTCAGTGGACCTAATGATATATAATTTCAAAAAAATGGTTTACTTTAATCTGTATATATTTTTGAAGTGATTTGTTGACCTTGCCTATAATTTGCACTCCTATCATGTTTTGATACCATTTGTTGTTGTAACGTTCTGACACGCCCCGACTGGATATCGGTGAAAAAAAGCTTCATAGCTGATCGGATTCCTCGTCCAGTATAAATATTCTGATATTCTGATTCTGTAACCCCCCCCACCCACCCTTGGACGATTGCACCCGAGCTGCTCCGGCAGGCACCAGTGGCGAACGTGAAACTCGACAAAAGACTTCGACGCAAACCTTCACGCGAGACACGGAGCTCAAGATCCGACGAGACGGAGCTTCCAAAAACAGGGGGGCTGGCAGGGGCAACGTACGGAATGGGTACACGATGGATAACGGAGCCACCGTAAACGTCCAAAGACAGTAGTTCCCAACCAGTGTGTACGTCGTTCTTCTTTCGCTCCGTACATATCCGACCGTGATAATCGGAGGCGAGAGGGGGGGGGGGTCAACAAACTACTGCGACTCTGCAAGGCCGTGGCAAGTGGCCCGTGGGACTGTTGCAGATGCGATGGGCTGTTTTTTGTTTGTGTTTGTTTCACGGACCGCTCTTTGTTCTTACTGCACAGGGATTCCGTCGACACGTTTTGAAATGTTGACTGTGATGCGCAGCGGGGGGGGGGGGGGTGCGGAAAGGTTTGGAACCACTGCCCGTAGGTGGTGTCGAGAGGACGTGCCGCTACAATTCGTAGTCTGTAGTTGAGGAGGTCAAGGGGGAACTTTAAGTGAACCGGCAGCCAATCAGGGCTTGGGTGGTGTGGGGCAGCTGCGTCCAACTTCCTCACCGCCACAACAAAGATACAAAGACAAAGATCCCCCTCCCCCAGTATAGCCTTAACAGATTGTTGGGGCAAGTGCTGTTAGCGAGCACCTATGAAGGCCAGTGCGGCACACGACGGGGTGGGTGGCCAGCACAACGCCTGGCCGCCTTTGTCTCCCCAGTGGCGATGTTTGCACACCACGCCAGGTACTCATTTGAGACCGAGCCGACCTAGGGGAGGCTCAGGACCGGTTCGGATAATTGTCACTTGGTGTTGGCCGTGAGCGGGAATCCAACTCGGATCGTCGGGTTCGTAGTGCAGCGCGCTAACCGCTGCACCACCGCTCCCCATTACACACACGCGCGCGTGCTCTCGTGCTTGTCAGCAATGTTGCAACAACACGGCTCCTGTCTGAAAACAGCGATCAGCAAGGCTGGGCACTGCTCAAGGGACGGACACAGCATCTGCCAGCAAAACCTAAAACACGTGCGTGAATATACCGAGCAGTTTAAAGAGGTGCACGCGCACACACGCACGCGCACGCGCGTGCGTGTGTGCGCGTGCGTGATAATTGCAACACCACTCTCTCTGTATGCGGACCGAGTTGCAAAGGGGAGCGCAACTCCTTGGTTAACCAAAGGTCAAATGTAGTTGGCTGCGAGGTCACGGATTCATTTCACAGCTCAACATTCAAGGAAGCCAGGCAGCGCCTGTATAAGGCAGCAAACAGCACAGCAAGTATGCTCCCAGTAGGGCTATCTGTGCAGCATTACTGCTACCCAACCCTGAATTCTTGTCGCAGCCACCCACGGTACCTGAGTGGACCGCACAGACCCCACCGCCCGGTGCTCATGTCACGCTCTGGCGGCCGGCCGGTGGTGACAGACTGAGCAGTGGCAGCTCATGTCCCAGCATTCGTGGAACCCGTTGACCGAGTAGACCAGTATTCTTGACTACTTTTCAGAGGTGGGGGGTAGGGGGGCAGGGACCACTTTCGCCGAGAAGACATCATCAGTGTGAGGGCCGCCACACCATTTGAAACCATTGGGGGTTTGACAGCAGCGCGATGGGGTGTTTTCATTTGTTGTGTATTGTCGGGGGCCGCACTGAAGGCCACCAGGGAGCGCCAGTAGCCCGCAGGCCTTGCAGCGAAGAACACCGCTGCAGTGGGACACGTTGAAGGTCAGCCGCCTTCGTGTAAGCGGCGTTAGAGATCTCTCCCTCTCTGTGGTTGTCCTCCGGTGGCGACAAAGTTTGTCCCCACGCGTCAAATTTCTCAACAAGCAATTTGACGCGCACCGAAAAACGTGGTGATGGTAGAGGTGCAGCCCTGCAATTTCTAGATCGTGGCCACTTGCTGGTGAAAGTGCCTCCCCTCGAGGAGAACAATCCCGACAGTCGGTAAAGATTTCTTGGGAAAATGTTTTAAACTCAATCGACGGAAGATGCCGATGTCCCAAGTCTGCAAAGAGGCGGCGAGCGGCAGGCGCGGAGGGCCCCACAACTCGGACGGTCGCGAGCCACTTGCGTCTCGAAGACTGTTGAGCCCTCGGCTGCTGACTCGCGTGTGAAGGCGGCCTTCCGAGCGGGCCCCTGCGGACGGGAAGATTCCACTCAGATTCACGCTCCCTTCTCGACATCTCCTCCTCCAGGCACTTGCGTCACGTGACGGTCACGTCCCTTGATCCACCGCGAAGCCCCTTCCTTCGAGCTACCGCGCGAGTGTTGGGCGGTTGCGTGCTGCGCACTTCTGGCTTGCTTAATCACGTGCGCCCCTTCTGCATGACGTCCAACGTTTCGCTCCGGCTGCTGGGAGCTCCCTCCAGCCCCGTGTCTCACAGCCTCCTCTTCAAAAGTCGCTCGAATGGACGAATATCCGAGCGGCGCGCGGAGCGTGAACGCCGGGCAAGGGCGCGGCGACGACACCGGAGAGCCGCCTCATGTGTCCTGTGCTCCGGCGGCGCCACCGCCGCCACCGCCACCTCGCAGCAGCCTCACGACCCTCCAGGCGTACGCGTCGCGCAGGTTCCTCCCGCCCTCGCCGCCGTCGCCACCGGCCACGGTGGCCGCGGCGGCGGCGGCGAGGCGCTCCTGCGAGAGGCTCCGCGCGAGCCTGCGCAGCGTCTTGCCCTGCCGCGCCGAGGAGTCGCGCGCCCGCAGCGTCACGTAGTACTCGGAGAACTTGTCGTTGATGGTGGCGATGGGCAGCGCGAGCACCAGGATGCCGAAGAGGATGCAGAGGAAGGCGACCGCCTTGCCCGCCGCCGTGTCGGGCCGGATGTCGCCGTAGCCCACCGTGGTCATGGAGGCGATGGCCCACCACCAGGCGGCGGGGACGCTCGGGTAGAGCGAGTTGGGCTCGGAGCCCTCGAGCGCGTGCTCCAGCGCCGCGAAGATGGAGATGCCCACGGAGAGGAAGAGCATGAGCATGCCCACCTCCTCGTAGCAGCGCGCCAGCGTCGTGCCCAGCGCACGCAGCCCTGCGCGAGGAGAGACGCGGGGGGGGGGGGGGGGCGCTCGGGGTCAGGTGTGCGGTGCTTGGGGTCAGGAGTGGGGGGGCTCGGGGTCAGGTGTGGGGGGGGGGAGGGGTCAGGTGTGGGGGGGGAGGGGTCAGGTGTGGGGGGGGGAGGGGTCAGGTGTGGGGGGGGGAGGGGTCAGGTGTGGGGGGCTCGGGGTCAGGAGTGGGGGGGGGGGGGGCTCGGGTTCAGGTGTAAAGTGAGTACAGACCAAGTCAAGTAATGTATGCAAACTGTGTATCTGTCCTTGTTCTGCTTGCTCTTGCAAATATGATTCATGTTTGTTTCATGAACGTTTCTTTAAACTGTATTTGTGCTGATTTCGTTTTTCATTGGATGGTAGCAGCATGCTGTGTTGCTGTAGTGATTTAAATTCACACTTTTGGTCTGGTGGGGTCATTTCCGTGGTAATACTAAAACATAGCAGCCCTTTTAGCAATCCCCAGCCGAATCATAATTAGTATTAATCTTGGAAGTAATCCGATTAGCTATGAAGTTCACAGATGCCCAGCAAGGGGTGGGTCATCAAGTTGCGGTCATGAGGTTGTGTGACCATACTTCACCACGCTGGTCAGCGGATGAATCTTCAGTCAGGTTATTCTATGGTAATTATTGAACGCTGCTCCTCCGACCACAGCTCTCTGGCTGTGGTTGTGCTCCGCGGTGTAATGATGCGTCACGCGATATTTGATCACGTCTATAAGTTCTCCCTTGCAAAGGACACGCGCGTCTCCGTGGCGAGTCTCACCGGGGTTCACGTTAAATTTACGCATCTGTGAGTGTGTTGTTGTTGTTGTTTAATTTTTCGCACGTGCTTCGCCAAGTTACGGGATGGCTTTCTTCTGGAACCCCCAAAAACGGTCAGCAGAGGCTCCCTATTCACGTCAGCGAACACCCTCGAGGGAGACCGCGCAGCGACTTGCGGAGTCACTCCTCGATTGCACCGCGGCTCCGTCGTGCCCAGTCGAGAGCCATGCCTCTCACGCCAATCACCGGTTACACGGAGGGAGGGAGGGAGGGACGGGTGGCTGGATTGAGGGAAGAGGCGGTACACGTCCACGGGACGTGCGGGGGAGCCGGGCAGTCTCTTTGTAACTCATTGCACACAGAGCGCTCGCCACAAAATAAACCGCAATGCCATGCTGATCTCGTCAAGGGCCATAAGCCATCACGCCATCTGAGATCATCCTCGCGGCAGCAGTGGCTTTTGACTGCTGGCCATCTAACAAAGACGGTCATCGCATCGCGCGCTTTCAAATACGCTGCTGCGGCCGTGTGGAACGCTCTACCTTTCGATGTTATGAAGCCACTGGAGCTATACGCTTTTAAATAATCTGAATTGAAAACTCATTTCTTTAGAACTGCTTTTTCTGTTTAGTTGGTTGTCCTTCCCCCGCACCTCGGATTAGCACGGTTGGCTACGTACGGTGCGAAAGAAATCAACATACAGTAACGTCTAATGGACGCGTGGGCTGCTAGTACTTTTGTAAATTGCTTAATCGAATAAAAAAAAGTTCGCTATCCATGACTGCCTGACACAGTCAGCTCCCTGCACTTGAGAATCCGGTTCTATCTGAAGTGGCAGGCGGAGTTAAACCACGGGTCTCAACCGTGATGAACTTCCAGAGGGGCTCAGACAAACTTTCTTTACACGTCATAGGTTCGTGTTGTCCAGCGACAGTGCAACGCAACACTGGCAAGGGTTGATTTACTAACAATGCTGCATCACAATGATCCCCCGTACAGCCTTAACAGACTGTTGGGGCAAGTGCTGTTAGCGGGTAGCACCTATGAAGGCTGGAACGGCACACAAAGGGGCTGGGTAGCAAGCACCATGCCCGGCCGTCTTTGTCTCCCGATATTTACACATGACACTAGGTACTCGTTTGAGGCTGAGTCGACCTAGTGGATACCCGGGACCGGTTCAGATAATCGTCACCGGTGTTGGCCGTGAGCGGGAATCGAACCCGGGTTGCCGGGATCGTAACGCAGCACAGCGCTAACCCCTACACTACCGCTCACCCACACACACCCCCACACACACACACACCCCCACACACACCCCCACACACACACACCCCCACACACCCCCACTCACACCCCCACACACACCCCCACACACACACCCCCACACACCCCCACACACCCCCAATACACACCCACACACACCCCCACACACCCCCGCACACACCCACACACACACCCACACACACCCCCACACACCCCCACACACCCCCAATACACACCCACACACACACCCACACACCCCCACACACCCCCACACACACCCACACACCCCCACTCACACCCCCACACACACACACACACCCACACACCCCCCAATACACACCCACACACACCCCCACACACCCCCCCACGCACACCCACACACACCCCCACACACCCCCACACACACCCCCACACACACCCACACACCCCCCACACACACCCCCACACACACCCACACACACCACCACACACACCCCCACACACACACACACCCACACACGGACGTACCCGTGGAGTGCCGCCCCAGCTTGAGGAGGCGCAGTGCGCGCAGGAGGCGCACCGTCTGCAGCGCGCGTCCCGCGTTGCCGAGATCACCGCCGCCACCGCCGCCGCCGGCAGTAGCACCGGCGGCAGCGGCGGCCCCTGAGTGCTGCTGCTGCTGCTGGACTCTCTCGAGCAGCGCCGTGATGTAGTAGGGCGCGATCGCGAGCAGGTCCACCACGTTGGAGAAGCGCGCGAGGAAGCGCAGCTTGCGGGGCGCGCACACGGCGCGGCACGAGAACTCGACGGTGAACCACGCGGTGCAGGCGCTCTCGAGCGCCGAGAACGCCTCCTGCGCCGCGGCGCCCTCGTAGGCCGTCATGAGGCACATGTTGACCACCGAGAGGAGCACGAAGCTCACGGAGAGGAGCGACACCGCGCGCGCCGTCCGCGACGACTCGGGGCTCTCGAGGAGCTCGAGGACGCGCACACGCAGCGGGCCGCAGCGCGCGCCCTCGGTCAGCAGCAGCTGCCGCTCCTCGTCCTCCTGCGCCTGCTGCCTCGAACCGAACTGCTCGGCGGGGAACTGCTGCTGCTGCTGAGCCGCCGCGGTGCTTAGGATGTTGTCGCGCTTGCGCCCGAAGCGGTCGCGGCAGCAGCGCGCCAGGCTGGGCTCCGAGATGCCCCAGTACTCCATCTCCTGCAGGAAGGCGGCGGCGCAGAGGCCTTCGTGCACGTGCAGGCGGCCCGTGCGGTAGAAGGCGAGCACGTAGCCGAACGTCTCGGCGCTGCGGTCGAAGAAGAACTCGCGCGAGGAGGGGTCCGCGTCGTCGCACAGATCGACGAAGGCGGCCGAGCCGAGCACGGCGCCATCCGCCGCTGCGTCCGGCGCGACCGCCTCGGGGCCTCCCGCCGCGGTCACGGCCGAGCGATCGAGGGGGTCGCCGAACGTGACGCCCGAGTGGGAGGACGACCTGGCCGCCAGCCTCCCGAGGCGGCTGTCCGGATGAGCCTCGAGCAGCTCACGGGGCACGAAGTGCTTGCTGCCGCCCACGTTCACGCAGAGGCCGCGGGGCCCGTCCGGGTTGGAGTCCCCTGCCGGGTCTGGCGAGTGGGATCCTCTTCTTCTTACTCCTCTTCCTCCTCCTCCTCCGCTGCTAAACCGCCCGACTGAGCGAGCGTACGAAGAGGGTGCTGGCATCGTCAGTCGGGGCTTCTCTGTTTGTCCTCGCTCCTCTGCGTTGTGCGCTGCGTGCTGGGTACAGGGGTGTTTACCTGTACCAGCACGCAACGCGCGCGCGTGTGCGTGTGTGTGCGTGCGTGTGTATGCGTGCGTGTGTGTGCGTGTGTGTGTGTGCGTGTGTGTGTGTGCGTGTGTGCGTGCGTATGCGTGTGTGTGCGCGTGTATGCGTGCGTGTGTGTGTATGCGCGCGTGTGCGTGCGCGTGTGTGCGTGTGTGTGTGTGCGTGTGTGTGTGTGCGTGTGTGTGTATGCGTGTGTGCGTGCGTATGCGTGTGTGTGCGCGTGTATGCGTGCGTGTGTGTGTATGCGTGTGTGTGTGTGCGCGTGTGTGCGTGTGTGTGTGCGCGCGCGTGTGTGTGTGTGCGTATGTGCGTGTGCGTGCGTGTGTGTGCGTGCGTGTGTGTGCGCGCGCGTGTGTGCGTGTGTGCGTGTGTGTGTGTGCGTGTGTGTGTGTGCGTGTGTGTGTGTATACGTGTGTGTGTGCGTGTGCGTGCGTGTGTGTGTGTGTGCAGGGAGAGAGCGAATGCGCAGTAGTTAGTGCGCTACGCAACGAATCCGGCGAACTGAAATTGATTCCCGCTGGCGACGACCAACATCAGTGACGATGATCTGAACTGTCCTGGGCCTCCCTGAGGTCTACTCAGCCACACACTAGTATCAGGTGCGACGTATAAACATCGCCACTAAGGGAGATAAAGGCGGCAGGTCGTGGTGTTGGCGACCCACTCCCCTCGTATGCCGCTGCGGCCTTAACAGGTGCTCGCAAACAGCACTTGCCCCTACAGTTTGTGAAAGGCTATGGTGGGGCGGGGGGTGTGGGGAATTTGTCTTTGCAGGTAGAGAGTGAGTGGTGGTTACGAGCACGCGTCGGCTCGTGTGACATCCTCCAGAGAATCGTGACACCCAACACGCAGCGGCGCACTCAGCACCGCACCCGTTGCCCAATTCACCCTCGGGTGACATCATCGTCACCATCGACCATGGTCGATCCACTGCTGGACGAAGGCCTCCCCAAGCCGCGACCCTTGCGATGCGGGAATCCACCCCGCAGCTGCGCGCGAGCTTCGACGCCATCGCTCCGTCTCCCTGGTGGACGTGCTCTTGTTAGCCGTGGCCGGGCACGCATCGAGCGCAGACCTCTGAGTTCGTAGCGCAGTGCGCTAACCACTGCGCCACCAACCCCCCACATGCGTACAGGATCTATTTAAGCCGGCACGGCACACGAGGTGGGGGGGTGGGTGTTCAGCACCGCGCCCGGCCCGCCTTTGTTTCCCCAGTGCTGATGTTTACGCCCCTCGCGAGGTAACTCGTTAAGGCCGAGTGGACCTAGTGGCGGCCCGGACCCGCTCGGATATTCGCCACCGATATTGCCCGTGAACGGCACTCCAACTCGGGTCACCGGGTTCGGAGCGCAGCACGCCAACCACCGTACGACCGCTCCCCAGACGTTCACTCCACACACCGATGCGTGTGATCTGCACAGCACATCGGGACTGATGTGTGGGACATTTGGGATAACTGAGGCAGGCAGTCATGGGGCTTAATGAGATCCAAACTGGTCCCAAGTGCTCACTGATGTTCGGTATGCTTTGCCACGATTGAGCCAATTTAGAGAGGCATTCTGTTATTGACGGGTGTTCGTGGTGAAGAATGGTTTAGCAGCCATTGCACTGGCGATCCGGAGTCCGCCGGGGTTCGACTCCGTGACCTCGCGCGGCAGCTGAAACAACGGAGCACGTTTTCTTAAATCCCCACCCGCACGGCCTCTGTGGGTGAACCCCGATTGTAAGTGAACTCCGTGTGAATAAATGGCTTCACCGCAGTAAATGGGTCGCGAATGGGCATGTCGCGGTGTGTGTGGCGGGGTAAAGCGTGGGTACTCGCAACCTCTTCCTTAGACGTGTGTGGCCAGCTCCCTCGAGGAGCGGAGGGCCCCTTCCGCCAACAGTGGTGTGACACAGCCGACTTGCAGGGCCTGCGCCTTTGCGCGCGCCGCTCAGGGCTCTGGCGTCCGGGCTCTGGCGCTGCGACTCGGGCGTTTGAGCTCACACATGCGGAAGGTCGCGAGTTCAACTCCCGCGTGCGACCCGGGACGGGGGTGGTTGAGACACGGCGAATTAAAAACGAGGACCACTTTACGTGCACATTTTTAGTGTGGTTGGTGTGGTTGGCGTGACTCCCCCGCTCGCCATAGGAATATGGATTTCCCGCACCACCGGCACAGGGCTAACGATGCCGAGGAACAACCGTCTCCTGCTCTCTGGAGCAGGGAGAAAATTTTTTTTACTGCATCAGCTGCCAGTGAATGTAAATTAATGAGGAGCAGTCACGCATTATACGTGGCGATGTGGTCGTGCTGTTGCATTTTTGGCACGCTCCCCAAAACGATCATTCCTGCATCAAAAAAACCGTGCTCTCCATCCGACACAGGCGTGTAAATCGATAACACCACAAATATGGTCATATATTTGAATAATGCCCCTCATTTATCCAGGAGAGTCCCGCTGGGTCTCGAGACCGTTTTGCTGTCGTTGTTGTTGTTATTGTCAGGATCATTTCTGCCTTGCGATGTTTGGCCAATTCCATTCTTTAGCGATTAGCGTGTGGGGAGGCAGCAGTTGGAGCACCGGGACAAAGCGCCACACATTTGGTCTTGGAGATTGCACGCCGGGCTCCGCTCCTGCCAGCGTTATTGTGGGATCGTTATTCATCCGATCATTACCACACAGCTCATTACCTTCAAATGAATGGGGTGCCGCGGTGGCGAAATGTTAACTCCCTCGCCTGGTATGCAGGAGGTCATGGGTTCGATCCGGACCCTGATGCCTGCTGTATATTTGGAGTTTGTGTGTTTTTTCTCCCCGTGATCGCGTGGATTTCTCCGGGTCCTCCGGTTTTTCCCTCCACATTTAGAATCAACATTTCGCTTTTCGAGTATTTAGCTGCTATAAATGTCCACGTGATAAGCCACTTCGTTGTGATCAGGTTGTTTCTGAAATAGAGCTATATAGCTCATTAAACATTACTTGGTAAAAAAAAATCGTAGTTTATCGTTTCTCTTTCAGTTTGTCTGACACATCAACATTGTTGTCAATATCATAATTTGTATGAACTTACCAATGGTTATGCACGTAGAATCCCACTGAAATGTGCTGCTCGGAAACACCGCCGATTTAAATCACACGAGATGTTCCCTTTATTGCTTGCTTCTGTTTGGGGTGTTTATTCATTTAAACCTCCACTCGGGATAACTTGCTAAACTCGAGTCATTTGGCGAAGAGACCGGAGGGCTTTGGAAGACATAACCCCACTCACGTGACCGAGGAACACTCAACTTTCACACACCTAGAGCAGAACACGACTTGCTGTACTGCACTATATGATCTCAGTCGGGGTGTCTCACACCGGCTCTATCCCGTCACGATCCACCGACCCCATGGTGATCACAACACCCAGAATTTACATTTTTGTTCGCAAAAAGTAATCCTCGTATTTTAGATTCGGGTTCAAATCGTCATCGTCGCCTTCAGCCATGGTCGATCCACCGCTGGATGAAGACCGCCCCAAGCCACCTACATATCTAATGCAACGATCGCGCGACGTTCGGACTGGCCGACAACAACCACCACCACCACGACGCGTGGAGCCTACCTCGCTACGCCGCTCGGCACGATGGGAAGACGCCACTCCGATTGAGGTGGAGCCCAGCCGCTGGAGAATCGGCTGAGCACACAGCGAGCATCACGCCCGCGTAGCTCCTTGGATATTTATTTTGTTGTTGCTCAAAATGCCCCGCCTCTCGTGAACGACGAAAGGTGTCGCGGGGCCTTTGACGGCCACTTGCATCGGCACGTGGCGCACGAGCTTTGCTCAATGGCGCGGAGGAGTCACTGAGCGACTGCGCCGAGGAAGTGAAACCCCGTGGGTTGCCTGCACGGCGGCTCAGCGGTGAGCACACGGAACGCTTAGCTGGACGCGATTCCAAATCGTGGCAAAACAAACAAAAACGGATTAATCACCAAAGCGACCCGGCTACTCGTGCACACGCGTGCGTCGTCACGATGGGCACGCGAACGCTCGAGAACGGCGCGCGCGCTGTTGCCGCGACGTTCCCTGTCGTGCATTTTGTTTGTGTTTCTCCAACAAAAAAAAGCGTTCAATTGCCGCGGAACGGCGTCTCGGTTTTGACAGCACATCTTCACGCGTCTTCAGCACATCTTCACGCATCTTCGGCACATCTTCACACATCTTCACGCATCTTCAGCACATCTTCACGCATCTTCAGCACATCTTCACACATCTTCACGCATCTTCACACATCTTCACGCATCTTCAGCACATCTTCACACATCTTCAGAACATCTTCACACATCTTCACACATCTTCACGCATCTTCACACATCTTCACACATCTTCACGCATCTTCAGCACATCTTCACACATCTTCAGAACATCTTCACACATCTTCACACATCTTCAGAACATCTTCACACATCTTCACACATCTTCACACATCTTCACGCATCTTCAGCACATCTTCACACATCTTCAGAACATCTTCACACATCTTCACACATCTTCACGCATCTTCACACATCTTCAGAACATCTTCACACATCTTCACACATCTTCACGCATCTTCAGCACATCTTCACACATCTTCACGCATCTTCAGCACATCTTCAGCACATCTTCACGCACCTTCAGCACATCTTCATACATCTTCACGCACCTTCAGCACATCTTCACACATCTTCACACATCTTCACGCACCTTCAGCACATCTTCACACATCTTCACACATCTTCACACATCTTCACACATCTTCACGCGTGCGATGCGTTGCGCCAGCCGATGGGCCGGAAGCGTGGGACAAACAAACACAATGCAACGCGCGATCTGTTCACATGAAAGTGTCCGTTGGAGAAACGTCGTGTTTCGGGTTAGCTGGCCCTTTTGCGTGCTCGACGATTGAACGCAGTTCGTGGCGTGCGTGCCTGCGCGTCCAACAGCCAAGTATTTAATCAGCAGATATATAACACAACGAACATAAACGTGCCAATTACTTCGTGATTTGATTTTCGGGAAGTCGCGCTAATGGCTCGATAATGATGTCACGATGCACAAATAAACAGCGGCACCTCCCCGATCTCACTTAATTCGATTTATGAAATGTGCCGCTCGCTCAGTAATGCCTCGTGGTGGGAATAATCAAACAACCCTTTTGACAAGTTTGTACAATCTGTCCCGAAGCTCAATCCGTAGAGAGGCAATGCCCATTGTGATAGACCACCGCCATTACCCAACTCTCCCTTGCACACATTAAACGTTGTTCCTCTGGGCTGACACACCCGGTTATAAATTATGAGATCATATATGTTAAGAGTAGAACAGATGTCACGCGAATTGCAGAGTTCCAAACATGAACGCCGGAGTCTGGTGCGGCGGCTGCATTCACTCACCTACTTACCCATCGCAAAACCAAGACAAAGATCACCCGTATAGCCTTTAGCAAACTGTTGGGACAAGTGCCCGTTAGCGAACACCTCTGAAGGCCGGTACGTCACACGAGGGGTGGGTGGCCAGCACCACGCCCGTCCGAGCTTTGTCTCCCCAGTGCTAGCGATGTTTACACGCCGCACTAGGTACTCATTTGAGGCTGAGTCGACCTAGGGGAGGCCCAGGACTAGTTCAGATAATCGCCACTGTTACTAATCGTGAGCTGGAATGGAACTCATGTCGCTGGTTCTGTAACACGGTACGTTAACCACGACATTAACGCTCCTCGTGACGAATCACACTCGCTCATTCACCCACTCCTTGGCTCACTTGCACATTCACCCATTCACTGAAATATCAAACATTTCACCCACTCAATCACTCAAGTATCGTACATACATCAACTCTCGCCCATTGTTATACAGACACCCACCAACTTACGAATTCACTCATTCGCCCAACCAATTATTGACCCAGTCACCAACTCACCCACTCACCCACTGACTCACTCACTCATCTACTCCCTAATTCATTCACTTACCCACTCATTCAGCCACCCACTCACCCGCTCAATTAACCATCAATAATTCACACGCTCACTCGCTCGCTCACTCACTCATCCACCCACCGACTCACCCCCCCCCCCCCCCCCCCATTTCACTCACCATATCACTCACTCATTCATCGACCCACACATACACGCACCCACCCTACTCACCATCTCATTCGCTCACTCATCTCACCTGTTGGAATAACTGCGCAGCCTCGTACCGCACAGCCACTCCGCGCGTCTCCTCTTCGTGGCGGCGCACGCGGTCACGGGACGGAGCCAACGCATGGCCGTCACCCTCGGCTCGCGTCTCTTGGCGATCTCCGCGAGCCTCCGCGTGTAGCGGCGGCAGCAGAAACAGCTCACGAATATCCCCCCCCCCCACCACCACCACCCACGCTCTCCTTTTCAGTCACGAGAGTGGCGCAGAGCAAGCGGAGGGAGCGCACAACACCCACTCAACTCTCTCTCCACGACCCGCAGCAGCAGCAGCAGGAGCCCATTTGCCGTCCAGCTTCCACGCCCAGTCACACGCGGTCGCACGCGTTGTGGCAGGGGCGGGGGTGGAGGGTGAGCCGGGGGCAGGAGGGTGGCGTTAAAGTGCTGCCACGTGGATTTTTCTGTAGCCCCCCCCCCCCGACCCCAAACCTTCATCACCACGACAGCGACCACCGCCTCAAGCACCATCCCTCCACCACCACCATCGCCTCTAGCACCATCCCTCCACCACCACCATCGCCTCTAGCACCATCCCTCCACCACCACCATCGCCTCTAGCACCATCCCTCCACCACCACCACCGCCTCTAGCACCATCCCTCCACCACCACCACCACCGCCTCAAGCACCATCCCTCCACCACCACCACCGCCTCAAGCACCATCCCTCCACCACCACCATCGCCTCTAGCACCATCCCTCCACCACCACCACCGCCTCTAGCACCATCCCTCCACCACCACCACCGCCTCTAGCACCATCCCTCCACCACCACCATCGCCTCTAGCACCATCCCTCCACTACCACCAACAACAACCGCCATTCGCCACTAAGTGGCGGTGAAGTCACCACGACGCTTGTGCCAGGCTATGTGCACTTTGAGGCCACGTGAAGTGTCGAACGCCCGCTGGCAGGAGGTCACGGGGAAAGACCCAGATGCCACAGGTCGACTGACTGAGACGACTGGCTGATGCCCCACCTGTGCCCCCTACTGTGCCAACTTGCTGTGCTTTAGCCACCTGGCGCTCCGCTCGCTGTTGTGAGCATCGCTCCTATACCCTCCGTTGTTGTTGGAGGGCGACTGCCTCCAACTGCCCAGTAGCGTCCTTCACGAGCCTCCTCCACAGAGGCCGACTTGACACCGCTGATACAAGTCATCGGCAAGTCCACTCAGCTCCACATCTTCCTGTACCACAAACACACCATCTCTTCTCTAGCCCGTGCCGCGCCCGTTAAGCCCTCTCAATCCGGCCAAACAAAAGCTGTTTAGGCATGCGGTGGCTGGGCATGCGGACTACATGACCCAGCCAACGAAGCCTTGCCTGCCGGAGGAGCTCACCGATGGGACTTTGTCCAGATCTTTCAAGGATTTGTGAGCTCCTCACACAATCCAGCCTGGTTAAACCCAGGATGGATCGTAGGTAGGCAAGCCTAAATGTTTCTAAATGGTGAAGATGTTCCATTCGTGGTGTCCACGTTTCGCAAGCATAGAGAATGGATGGAATGACTGTGGCCGAGAAAACATGAAGCTTTGTACAGAGCGACAGACCAGGTAGCTTCCACACAGCGTAAAGCAAACGATGAAAAGATAATGCCGCTCAATTGATTCGGAGTGAGACCTCTGCTGTTAAACCGGAGCCGGTCATAAGCACACTGCCCAGGTATGGGATACTCTCCACTCTCTCCACAACTACCCTATAACCAATTGGGAGTTGTGGGGTTGAGTGTCCGATGGTACAAAATACCCAGGAAGGTGCTTAGTTTTAGTGGGGCTAAGTGACAAGATCCAGGTTCAGTAGCAGCCCAGGCCTACTGATGGTATCATAGGCCTTGATCAGGGCAATAAAGCAGAGATGCAGGTCTTGTTGGAATTCCCTAAACCTCTGCTGTAGCAGACGGACAGACAATATGGCATCTGTGCAGGACCGCCCTTTCCTGAAACCGCATTGGGGCTCCGCAAGCCTCTCCTCAGCGTGCCTGGCAAGGCGATGTTGAATAATCCTTGCCAGGACCTTTCCCGGCACACTGAGGAGCGAGATTCCGCTGTGGTCGTTGCAGTCTGTGCGGTCCCCCTTCTTAAAGAAGGGGACCACCAGGGCATTCTTCCAATCCTGCAGAACCAGTCCAGTGGTCCAGACTTGTTATGATGTCATGTTCGGGCAGTCTGTGCACAACGCCACCCTCCCTCAGCATTTCGCTTGGGAGATCATCTCTGCCCGGTGCCTTTCCTGGTTTGAGACTGGATCGCCTTCAGTATTTCCTCAACAAATGCCACCTCATCTAGCCACTCACAGGGGGTGACTTCTTCTTCCAATATTTGAGCCACCGCAGCCTTGGCAGAGTCATCCTCACTTTGTCCCACGTGGTTCTCCAGCGCGAGAGATTTCCCCTTCCTCAGGACCTCACAGAAATGCTCAGAAATTCTGCAAACCTGTTCCTGGCGGTCATAAATTGGAACACCATTCTTTCCTCTAATGATGGTGATAAGTGTGGCACTGCAGGTTACTTTTTTTGATGGAATTAAAAAGCGATTTGTGATCGTGGGCCATTGAGGCAGACTCCATCTCCTCAGCAACCCGCGACCACCACCCATCACGGCTCTCCGAACCTACGAGCGAAGGCTGTGGTAAGCCTCCTCAAACTCTGACGTGGGATGCTGTAGCCGATGAGAGTAGGCCTGTCGCTTTTTTCAGCCAGCTTGAACACCTCCTCTGTCAGCCAGGATCTCTGGGGAGGTCTGGACCATGTACCCAAAGCAGCCATTGCAGCTGCATGAGCCACAGTCCTAAACCTCGCCCATTTCCCCTCGACATCAGGAGGAGTGGGGACGATGCCAACCCCAGCCACAAACGATGATGAAATTATTGCTTGCAACTTTCATCAGCTAGCTGAGACCATGCCACTAAGGGTTTGAATGGGGTCCTGTGTGTACACCCACCACAGGAGTGGAAGAATGGCAGGCACATCTTACAGATGTCAAGTCGATGGTCAGTGTGCAGATCTGCTCCACGGTAGGTCCTGGTGTCAAGGACATGGGCCCACATCCCGCTGTTCCGTCACTATATAGTCCAGCAAATGTTATTGCTTGCACACAGCATGCATGCATGATGTTGTGTGGATGCGCCGATGCCGGAACAGCGTGTTGGTAATTACAAACCCATGGGCTGCACACAAATCTAGCAGCCCCCTGCCGTTGTTATTGAGCTGATCTGGCTCATTCCTTCCAATCACTCCAGACCAGGTGCCAGCATCATGACCAACTCGAGCATTGAAGTCACCCAACAGGATAACTCTATCCCGATGGGCCACTTTAGCAAGCACCTGTGACAGGAGGTCATAGAAGGCATCTGACTCATCGGCTTTGCCTGCATCCCTTCACTATCCCTCCACTAATGGGCATGTTCGGTGGGGGCATAAGTAACCACGACCACACTCCTCGCCTATGGTTGATGGGAAGGCGAGCCCAAAGTAGCCTGGGGCTTACAGCTTCCCACACCTCACCGCCACGCTCCTATGCCCCTTGATTATTTTGTTCAGAAGAAGAGCTACTCCCTGTTGTTTGGCAGTCTCCTGCCCCGATTAGAGGACTGCCCACCCCTCATGGTAGTCGGAAACAGAGCCGGTCCACTGGACCTCCTGAATATCACAGAGATCCAGACAGTACCAGTCTAGCTCCCGACAGAGGAGTGGCAGCCTCTTCTCCACAGTGAGCGTTCGACCATTCCACGTGGCCACCCGCAGTAGCTTTTTGCTATTTCTGGAGGAGCACCGAGGGTAAGGATTTAATCTCCTGGCTCTGCCAAATATGATTTGGCCAGGAGATGGCATAGACAACTGTCCACCCGGGGCCTCTGGCACAAACTTAGTTGGATATTTTTGTTCGTGATTTAGTAGTAATTAATTTAAGTTGGGGGGGATACCAGCCCCTTGCACCCTTCCAGAGCCCCCTTTGGCCGTTGTGGTGGCTACAACTGCCAAGAGAGGAATGGCCAATCGAAATTGGCCTTCCCCCCATGGCACTGCTCACCACAGCGTTACCACCACCGCCTCTAGCACCATCCCACCACTACACCACCGCCTCAATCAACAACAACTGCCGTTCACCACTAAGTGGTGGTGGCATCACAACTAGTTATTGTGCCATGCTAGGTGCACTTTGAGGCAATGTGAAGTGTCGACGGCCCGCTGGCAGGAGGTCAGAGAAGATACCCAGGTGCCATGGGTTGACTGACTGAGATGACTGGCAGACGCACCAACTGTGCCCCCTACTGTGTCAAAAACTGGTACCAGCAGTGTCAAGAACGGCCTCTATGGAGGAGGCTTGTGAACGCTGGGCAGTTGAAGGCAGTCGCCCTCCAACACAAATGGAGGGCAGAAGAGCGGCGCGCAACAACAACGATCGGAGCGCCAGGTGGCTAAAACGCAGAGGGTTGGCACAGTGGGGAGCACAGCTGGTGCATCTGCCAGTCATCTCAGTCAGTCTACCCACCAACCGTCCATCACCAACAAAATCACCACCTCGAGCACCAACCCTCCACCCTTCTATCGCCAATGCCACCACCACTCCACCACGCGCCCCCACTCGCATTCCACGCCATTGACTCCGCCGTTATTGCGGAGTTGTAATTTTGTTGCGGGCCGTTGATCTGAGAAGGGAGCAACACAATTGGTTAATTTGCAGCGTTGTTGAGTTTTCGCGTTATTTGTATCTGAATATGCATTTGCGCACGATTGCTTTGCTAATTATTTTTTCTCTACGCTTCTTCTAAAAAAATTACACTGGTGTTGTTTGTTTGCTCGGTTGAGTGCTTTTGTTTGGGGTGGGTGGTGGTTTCGGTTTTTGTATATTAACCACGTGGTAATCGGTCTTAAAAATACATTTTAAAAAATCGCAATCATTATATATTTTCCTGCGATTCGCAACCCCCGGTCAGAAAATCTTGCGGGGTAGTGGTGGTGGTGGTGGTGCGAGTCAAAATCAGTTCTCGTGATGTCGAGGCAGTCGGAAGGCGAACGTTGTTATGAGCGGGCTGAACACGAAGAAGCTTCACAGTCTGTTGCCGTATAGCAGCACCCAGCCTGGCGACGATTGCCCGGCTCTGTGAGTTGACTCGACGTGCCCTCCAC